CCTGTCCTCGGTGGTGTGGGAAGGCTGGAAGCGCCCCTTAACTTCCCTCTTGGGATCCCATCTTCTTCCTCTTCCGTTCTGCACCAGGTCCAGGGTCCAAGCTGGACCTGAAGACCACTCGCCTTTATAACTCCTTTCTCACCCTCAGAAAGGGTGAGCCTGATTTGGAACTCAAAGTTTTTAAAGTGAATGCTAAAAACTGTTTTTACGTGTAACTGGGGAACATTTTAAAAAAATAAATACATAAAGAAGCTTGAAGGTCTCTAGTTAGTGGGCACCTTCGTGAGGCAGCCCGCTCAACATTGGGACAGCTCTAAATGCTCGGGAGCTTCCCCTGCCTCGAGCCCCATCTGCTTCTGGGCATCTTCCACTCTTCCGACTAGACTGTGAGCACCTTGTTGGAGGCGACCCTTCAAGGACGCTTTCTGCTCTCTTGGGTCTTTTTTTTGGGGGGGGTAACCAACAACCAATAAAAGCACCCTGGCTCTTGCCTCTCTGCTCCTCAATTTCAGTCAATTGTGTGACTATAAAAACGTGGCTGTTGTGGAGGATTGTCTGAAATCCTGTCTCTTCTCTCCTATTTAGCTTAAGGATACGCTAAGTGTGTGGACAGACCATTCTCAAGGTTTGATAGCAATAAGGAGGCAGGCGGATGGGTGGGTGGCTTAATCTGCACACGGCCACATCCAGGCTCCCACTCCTCTCCCCGGTACGTCACATCCTGGATCAGAGCCCAGACACGCTTTCTATCGCATCCTGGACATCCTCTTCCATCCACGCTGCTCCCCCACCTTCTTTCTTCAAGTCTGGAACCCTCATCAACGAAGAGCCCCGCCACGTCAATCAACTGTCCCTGGCTCTGCTTATCTTGCCTGTGATTTCCTTAACCAAAACGCCTCTCCCTGGCCACCTCTCCCTGGCCTGTTATCTCTCCCTGTCAGAATCTGAGCTCCCTGAGGGGAGCTGCCTCATGTTTCCACTTATATCCTCAGTGCTTGGCACAAAGCATGACAGGTGCTTAACACACACGCTAAATAAATCTGGCCTCAGGCTCGAGCTGCGTGACGTTGGGCAAGTCACTTAACCTCTGTTTCCCTCAGATTTCTCAACTGTAAAATGGGGACAACTCTATCACCTACCTTCCAGGGTTGTTGTGAGTATCAAAGGAGACAATAGAGGGGCAGCTAGGTGGCACAGTGGATAAAGCACCAGCCCTGGAATCAGGACCTGAGTTCAAGTCTGGCCTCAGACACTTACTAGTTGTGTGACCCTGGGCAAGTCACTTAACTCTGATTGCCTCCCCAAAAAATACCAAAAAAAAAAAAAAAAAAGGAGAAAAGAAAAGAATGAATTAACAGTTGTAAAGCACTTACCACAATGCTTGGCACACACTAGGCAGGATACAAACGCTAGTTATTATTATTACTAACAAATACTTTTTCATTCATTCATTCATTCCTCATATAGACACCTCATACATACCCCTATGTTCCTACTCTCATGTACACACATGCTCATTCACAAATATATACTCCCATAGATGCATGTACATATACACATGTGTGTTTATGTATTTGTATATATGGATATACATATATGTGTATACATCACAAACATACTCCCATACATATATGTATATATTTGTATATATATGTGTGTGCATATAGGAATACACACATGTATATATCATAAAATATATTCCCATGGATATATTTGTATTGTGTACATAGGAATACACATATGTATATACATATCACAAATATACACCCCCCTAATTTATGTATATATGTGTTTGTGTGTGCGCATATACACAGATCTACATACATAGATATGTTCCCATACTATATGTATATATTTGTATATGTGTACATATACACACATATATGTGTACATCACAAATCTATACCTCATACATATATGTGTACATATATTTATTTGGGCGTGTGTATATATATGTGTTTGCGTGTGTATATATAAATATATCTATATACACACGTGTATAGATCACAACTATACATTCCTATACTATTTTTGTGTACATCACAAGTCTATATCCCATACATACACGTGTATATATATATATATGTATTTATTTGTGTACACACACGTGCACACACACACATACACATACATAAAATCTCTAAAAACCCTTGTTCCTGAGTAAGTCTCCTGGTCCTCTGGGTCCTCTTTTCTTTTCTCTCTACACCTTCTTCCGGCCCGTTATTATCTAAAGCACAGATGATTCCCAAATCGACCCCATTTTCCATAATCTCACTTCTGAATTCCCACAGCCATCCCCTGTGAGACACACCCGGACGGCCCCCCGGCACCTCAAACCCAACGTGATTCTACATCCCAAACTGAACTCATAATTGCCCTGGCCCTCTCACCCACGCCCCTCCTCCAGGATGCTATGTTGCCGCTGCTGCTGTGGGTGCCCCTGTCCCTCCAGCGCCATCCTTCAGGCTCTCAGTCCCAGGGAGGCCAGCCGGCCTGGCCTCTTCCCTCTTCCTCACCCGCCAACGCTCCATCTGTTGCCAAGCCCCGCTGCTCTACCCTCATGGTGCGGATTCCTTTCAATGCACTCCCGGGGCTGGTGCGTGGCTCATGCCCTCATCGCTGCTCACCTGGACTAACGCAGCAGCCTCTTTGCTGGCCTGACTCCAAACCAGCCTCCCCACAGCTGCCAACCTGATCTTTCTAAGGTACGGGTTGACCATGCCCCTCACTCCCTTGCTCAAAAACCTCCACTGGCTCCCCACTGCTGCCAGGGTCAAAGGCACACTTTTGAGACTGACACTGAAGGACATCTGCCACTGCTTCTTCTCACCCCTAGATGCCTGCTATAGTCTCTTGTGCTCACGGATCTGTCTGCAAGGCTAACCCTCATGCCCGTACGTCTTCCCTTCCTCTTATGTCCGTCCGAGTCCTCTCTTCAAGGCCTGCTGTCCATGCTGCCTCCTCCAAGTAGGCTTCCATGCTCTCTGCCTCCTGGCTCCAAGGGATGTTGTTTTTCCTCCTTTGATATTTCTAAATTTTGTCTCGTCTGGTATAATCCCTTATTTTTGCTGAAGGCACTGCCATCTTTTCCTTGGCATTACCCTTAACTCCTCCCTTACCTTGCATATTCGTCAGTCACCAAATCTTGCCATTTCTTCCTCTCCAGCTTCTCTCCTATCTACCCCCTTGTCTCTAATCACATAGCCTCTACCTTAATTCAGGCCCTCATCGCCTTCCCCTCTCCTGTCCAGATTACTGCAATGGCCTCCCAGCTGGTCTCTCTACTTTAAGCCTCTTCCCTACTCCAATCCATTTTCTAACCAGTGGATCAAATGAGATATTTGTCAAGTACTTAGCACACAGTAGGTGCTTAATAAATGCTTTCTGATGGACTGATCTCTCTTTTGGCTTTATCATTCCCTATCTTGTATTATCTTTTTCCTCCATTAGAATTTAAGCACCTCCATAGATGGAGCAGTGGATAGAGCACCAGCCCTGAAGTCAGGAGGACCTGAGTTCAAATCCAGTCTCATACCAGACACTTGACACTTACTAGCTGTGTGACCCTGGGCAAGTCACTTAACCCCAATTGCCTTGCCAAAAAACAAACAAAAACCAACAATAAAAAAAAAAAGAATTTAAGAACCTTCAGGGTAGTGGTTGTTTCATTTTTTACATCCCCAGTGCCTAGAATAGAGCTTGGTACCCAGCAGGTGTCCAATAAATATTTATTGTTAAGTATACACACATACTAATATCCCTATGTAAACCCTCATACATACCTATTCACAAACATATTACCCACATCTCTATGCCCTTATTATACACAATAAACATATATACACACTTCACTACACATATATATATCTATACACACACAAACACACCTCTCCTCATACATGTATATATTCACATATGCCTCCCATAACCTTGCAATACCCTCATAGCTGTTTGGACACAGCATCAATATACACACATGCTTCCAAAGACACATTCACATAGCTACCTTACACATTCTGCACGGACATTAAATAAATATCTGCATCATCAAAAATATGTTCTTGCTCATGTGTGCCCCTCATATATGCACATCCACATGGCCAAACATGTAGCCCAATGTACCTATCTACCCCTACTGACACACAGCTAGGCTCAGAGACTTTATCAATACATATTTTAAGCATTTAGTACGCACGCAGTAGCCATATATACATGTTAAGTGAACACGTACACACACACACACATACACACACACACACACACAGACTGAGGCGTCTTTACCTAGTACATCAAACTCACATTGATCAGGACTTCTGAGAACATCTAAACTATGGGGTGGGTGAGGGAAGGAGGTGGGGACATTGTCAGCAGAGAGACTTCCTTCTATCAGACTGAGAGGCTCCAGAGAAGGTGGGAGGGAGAGAGAAAAGAGCAGAGGAAAGAGCAAGGGGTAGAGAGGAGGAGCTAGAGGGGGCAAGATAGGGAAAGAGGAAGGGGAAAGGGGCCAAAGGAGAGGAGGAAAAGAGACAGGAGAGAAGGAAGGAGGAAAAGAGAGGAAAGAGAAAGAAGGAGAGAAAAAAGAGAAGAGGAGAGTGACAGAGAGAAAGAAAGAAGGAAAGAGAGAGAGAAAAAGTGAGAGAATGAAAGAGAGAGAGAGAGGGGGAGAGAGAGAGAGAGAGAGAGAGAGAGAGAGAGAGAGAGAGAGAGAGAGAGGCCTCCTGACATCCCTGAGGCCTGGAGCTTCTGGCATAGGGTCTTCTCCCCTAGCCCTGTGCTTCCCCCTGTAAAACCAGGAGCGCTGCTCTGGGCAGGGCTGGGTGGGCCAGGGGTAGGGGTGAGGGTGGAGGGGAGGTGAGGATGAGATGCAGGGCCTGCAGGAGACAGAGGGCGCGTGGGGACGAACAGAAAGGGAAGAAGCCAACAGAACTGGGGAGGAGTAACCAAAGAAAAGCAACAGAAAAAAATGACCCCCACGGGAACAGAAAGACACAGGAACTAACTTTCAAAGTGAAACTCGGGGTCACTGAGGGGGCTGCTGAGGCCAGAATCTGCAGAAAACAGTAAACAATAAATGAACAAAAATGCAGGAACGTTTCTGTTCCGCCCTCCCTCTCGGTCTTGCTCTCTATCCCTGTGTGTCTCTGTCTCTGTCTATCCCCCAACCCACTTAAATGTCATGCTAATCAAACAAAAGGAAAAAAGCAACAGAAATTTAAGAGGTAAGGCAGTCAGTCTTTGGGCTGATGGGAGAGGCTCTGTTCACCAAGTCCCCCCCCCCCCCACCTCTGTTCACTGGAGGGAATAAACTGAGAGACCCACCTGGCTATCTACGTTATGGCTGAACACCAACTACAAGGTCTAAAAACCTTCACTGACTCCCACCGGCCCCAGGAGTACAAGCGTCTCCGCCCAGCATTCAAAGCCTCCAGTCTTGCCCTGCCTTATTCCTCTAGCATCTTCATTGCTTGTACCCGCCCCACCCCAGACACGCCACACTCACTTCTGCCTTTGGCCTGTGTGTTCAGGCTGCCTTTTCAAATTCTAGCATCATGGAGGACCCAGCCCAAGCCCCTCCTCCTCCAGGAAGGCTTCCCTGACTGCTGTAGCCCACAGGGATTTCTCCCAATGCTACATTCCCCCCCAACCTGTTGGCACCCCTGAGCACACGCCCCAGCCTTGGCTCTCTCCCCCTCCAGGTGTGTGTATGTGTGTGTGAAGCAGTTCCTTCCAATCAGACTCAAGGACAGGGACCAACCGCTCTCCTTGTCTCTCTCTCTCTCTCTCTCTTTCTCCCTGCATAGCACAAGGCCAGGGATATATTTGTAAAACTGATGAACAACAGCGAATGAGTGAATCAGTTTCCAGTCCATTCCCTGACCCTGATGGCCCTCTCTTAGCCCAAGTTAAAGCTTGGATTCCAAGTGTCACTCACTACCAGGGAATTGTTGACTAAGCCAGTATTTCTGAAGGGAAACACAAGCTACCTTCAATTCAAATACACTGTGAAAGTTCCCACGTTTTCACTGACTTTGGGGCACTGAAGACATGGGCTGGGCTCTGGTCTCCTTAAATACAAGGTGCTAGCACAGGGCCCTGATGGGTCATTTTGCTAAGGGTCCTTACCTGCTGTTGGACATTAGCCCTGCACGAACTTTTAGCCATGACATGGCCACCGCCCCAAAGGTGTCTGTTAAGTTCTGTCCCAGTGGTGGGTCAGGTGATCCTGCTTCCAGTATTTTGGTGAATATGACACTAAGCAGTTGGTTTGATTTTTCTCTGGCTGAACTGACAGGATGGTCCAGCGGTCTGGGGCCCCTGCCTGTCTCAGGTGGGCAGGCTCCTCCTTGCTCCAACTTTTTTTTTCTATTATTATTTTTTTTTTTGGTGGAAGGGGATGGGAGACTAGAAAGGAAACCCAAGTGATTGCTGCTCTCAGCCCACCAAAGGAGCACCCCTAATCAGGCATGCCCGCCCTGATTACTTCAGGACGGAAATGGGAGGCAGGACGGGATGGACCGAGGATGGGACACCACCGAACAAAAACAGCCGGAAACGAGACTGCCCACCTGCCTCCCAACACCGGGCCCCGTGACTGAACATCACAAAGATTCCTGGGGCAGCTGAAGTGAGGTAGGGTGGGGCACGTGCCCTGTGGGCACCCGGGGGGAGAGGTGCCACACCCTGAGTGTGTGCTGGGGAGCACAGGCACGTGTGTAAGTGAGTGCAGCAGTCACACCTGGGTGACTGTGGGACATCAGTCCCTGGGAGATGCCCCTGCGTTTACTCTTCTGTTCACAATGTGATGGCTTTCCTACACCTCATTAGGGCCTCTCAGCACATCAAAAATCACAATAAAATTCTTCCCCATAGAAGCCAAACCCCAAGATGGGGAATAGAGGAAGAGAAGGAACTATAATTCACTGATTGTCAAAGATCTTTAGGTGTGCCTGGAACCCTCTAATAAGGCCAAAAGCAATCAGTGCTGTGTGTTCATTAAAAAAAAAAAAGACAAAAACCAACTCAACAGGTCAGAAACTGTCATGATTCTCTAGATAGAGGTCATCCGTACACATGGGGAAGGCCGTGGTTAGGGGCACTCAGCAAGGAGTCAATGAATTAACTCGATTAAACAGGTGACCTGGAGGGTAATATGGGGATTGCCCACAGCTGGTGGCCCCCCCCCACCCCCACAAGGCACCCTCTATCTGGGCCCTTCAAAGCTCAGGCAGATGTTGGCACAGGCACTGCCCATGCGCCTGCCCCTAAGGAGATCCCAGGTGTCAGGGGCCTGCAGGGCAGAAAGGGAGGACAGTGGGAAGGGCCCTGGGATACCTGGAGTCTGGAAATTGATGCGTCTCATCTCCACTGGGTCCTTTGGGTGGTGTGGGGCCAGGTCTGCGTTGTTCAGCAGGCATTTGGTACGTGGCTCCGAGTCCTTACGTTTGCTTTGGGGATAGGGAAACAAGACCTTGTGAGTGTGCACCCAGGCTGGACTCATGGGGCTCTCTGAATGACGGTCAGTGTGAGCGTGCCCATTCATGCACAGGGCGCCTGTGCACTGGTGAATGATGGCCCGGGTGACTATTTGATGTGGCTGTGATGGGAGCACAGGAGATCCATCATTCCTCCCCTTTCCTTCAGAAGACAGGGGTGGCGGTGGGGGTAGGGGTGGGGACTGTCTACATCCGACGTGAAGATCCGGACAATAAGGCTTGGCCATACAATCAGGTGGTGCTTGGGAGTGAACTTTCCAAAGCCCCTTCTCACCCAGTGTCTCATCTAAGCCCTCCTACTCCCCTGAGACGTTGGTGTCATTATCGCTGATGTGTGGCTGAGGAAACTGAGGCCTGGGAGGGTGGGAGGGTCACGGAATCACAGAATTAGTGGAAGGGATACTACAGGTCAGTTAATCCAGCTGTCTCATTTTATGGACGAGGGAAGGTCTTGCCTCAAGTTACACGGGGAGTCGGGCAGACTGGAACCAGAACCGGGACTCCTGATGCCGGTTCAGGGTTCTTTTGCTGGCCCTGAGCTGGTTTTAGACTCGCTGTCTTTGGCGTGCAGACACTGAAGGGGGGATGACCTGGGTTGGCAGAGACTGTATTCACGCCCCCTCCCAACTATTCCCCAACAGAGCACTCCTCTTGTCTGGGGTCTACAGGGCTGTCAGAGAGGGGGCCTCAGGGTGGGTGGGCGAGGTCTGGCTCTTACCTATCAGGTTTGCTTTTCCAAGAAGCAGCAAAAGGGAGGGGAAAAGAGACACCATTAGGAAGAGAGGGGAGGGGCAGGGCTGAAGATGATCAGGGGTCACAATGGCTCTCTGTCATACTCCACGTCCCCTCCAATTTGCCCTGTCCCAAATGGGCCCCTCCTGGTTTCTTGTGAGAATCCTGCTCTCTCCTAAGAGCTTACAATCAAAATCCTCCCGGTCATTATCCCTCAAGGCCCAGCTCAATCCTCATTTCCTCCAGGATTTATTTACTGACCAGCTCTCCTGCTCCCCCAGCTCCCAGAGAGCCTTCCCTCCTCTGAATACCTCTCACAGTGACCCCACCATCCAGGGTCTAGTCCTTGCTTCCATCCCGCCCTGCACAGACCTCTTCTCGTTCCCTGGCTATGAGCCCTATTTCCCAAAACAGACCGGGAGATCCCGAAGGCCTGGGCCTGCCTTTTTCTCTGTCTCACAAAATCAGCAAAACTCTGCACTTCCAGGCCCTCAGGGGGCACGAAACCCCCTCCCCGCGGGAATGGGATTCTCAGCTCTAACATCTCCAGTAAACGGGTCACCAGCCTCTGTGTGATGAGGAATCCGTCACATCTAGAAGCAGCCCGCTCCCCCTCTGGACAGCTGACTGCTGGGGATTTCTTCCTTACACGGAGCTAAATGTGCCTTATGCTAACTTCCATCCACGCTTCATTGCCCTGATGGCCGAGGAGAAACATTCCTGTCGCTTTTCCATAGGACAGGGCTTCAAGTACTTAAAAGACAACGCTCACGTTCCCCTTCGGGGCCCAGCTCTGCTCCTGCCTCCACTGATGACTGCCCACTCTGCCCTAACCTCTGGCTCACAGAGACATCTCCCTCCTTTAAGCCCCGCTGGCCCTGACCAAGGTGCTGCCCGACAGAGCAAAGGCCAGCCTGTCCTCCCCTGCCCTCCCCAACCTGAGGGCAGGACCGCGGTCTCTCAGACGTGGAGCCCCTTTGGCTGAGGGTCTAGGTCTGCTCCCTTCTGGACACTCTCCAAGGGTAGGGCCTGGGTTGGCCTCCTCCCTGCCTTACCCACAGGGCAGCCACGGTCAGGGCTGGGCCCACCCTGAGATCCAGCTTTTAGAACTGGAAGTGGTTCTGGATTGTCTAGGTGAAGCCACTCAATTTGCAGACAGAAAGCTGTGGCCTGGCTTTCCTGGGAGAGGGTGGGTGACCCACTCCCGGTCACCTGGCGAGCCCGAGGCCAAGCCTTCTCTGCCCGCCTCTGCGGCCCTGGCACTCCTGGGGAACACCTGGGTGGGGGAGGAAGGGCTTACTTCTTATAAAGGAGGATGGCGATGACAATGCAGATGATGAAGACCACGGCTAGAACGGGCCCGATGACCCAGATGAGGCCCTCTTCCCCATCGATGATGGGCTGCGGGTCAGGATTGTCCAGCTGGATAGGACTGGAGAAAGGGCTGGCCGCGAAGGTCTGCAGGGACGACAAAGCAGTTTTCATCACGGTTAGCCTTCCTGCTGCGGCCTTCCCTTGGGATCCTAGGCCCTCTTACTCCACTGCCTCCCTCTCTTCTTCATCTCCCCCCCAAACCCCCCAGGGCTTCACGGTGAGTATAAATCCTGGGCTAGGATCCAAGAGATCTGAGCTGGGGTCACCAAAATGATAGGACCAGGACCCCTTGGACAAGTCACTTCCCTTCAAGCCTCAGTCTGCTCATCTGTGAAATAGAAATAATTGTATTCGCCAACCTCAGAAGGGGGTGACAAAGATAATGACAGCTCCCATTTCGAGAGTGCTTTTAAGTTTACAAAGATTTCTTTCTTCACAATAACACTGGGGAGGTAGAGAATGCAGGCATTCTTACACCCATTTTACAGATGGGGAACCTGAGGCTTCAAGAAGTTAACCTGGCCCAGAGTCACACAGCTGCCAGAGCTGGCATCCGAACCCTGATCTTCAGAATTCACGCTCGGTGCCCTCACGGCTACACCTCGGCTGCTTTTCTAGGCTCTCTCAAGCGACCTCCATGGCGAGGCACTTGGAAAAGGTCAGCACAAACAGAAGGCGGTGGTGTTCTTTTCCCCTTTCTATCTCTAGGGTAGTATAAGAAGGGGATGGGGAAAGAGTGCCGCCAGAAAGGGAGCAGCGTGTACAGGGCATTTCCTTGTCTGTCGTCAAAGCCTCAGAGTTTTCTTGGGGAAAAAACCAGTATTGAAGACTTCTCTCTATCGGTAAAACAGGGAGACTGAGGGCCATGTGGTATGTACAGGGTCACTGGGCAAGTACTTGGGGGACTCAGATACGCCTGCCTCTTCCTCCGCTGACACCTCTGCTGAGCTATGGAGCAGGCCTCAAGACCTGCCTGGGGAAAGGCAGAAGCATTAGAATAATTAATAATAATAGCTAACATTTATAGAGTGTTTTACTATGTGCCAGACACTGGGTTCATTAAGTGTTTTACAATTATCACCCCCTTTGGTTCTCACAACAACCCTGGGAGGGAGGTGCTGTTATTATCTCCATTTTACAGATGAGGAAACTGAGGCAGGCAGAGGTTTGGTCAGGGTCACACAGCCAGGAGGCATCTGGGGCCAGATTCAGCAGAGCGGCCGCAGTCCTCTGACCATGATGAGCCCAGGAAGGGACAACGAGAAGGGGGAGAGGGAGAGCTCGGGGTGGCCGGGGAGGCGGCAGGGCTCACGGGCTCTGTCTTCTGCAGCACCGCCAGGACGAAGAAGACGTATCTCTGGCCAGCTTCGAGGGCTTTGTTGTCGAAGCCGCTGTAGTGTCTCTGGTCACCCAGTTCGAAGCGCGAGGGCAGAGAGTAGAAGCGGGCGGCGATGTAGGGCTTGGGGGAGTCCAGCTGGCGGGAATGGCGTAGGCTCCGCCGGTGCAACCTCGAGATGTCCTGGATCAGCTGGGGAAGAGTGCGGATGGACGCTGACACCCAGGGCCTCTGCTGCCTCCTCCAAGAAGCCCTCCCTGATCAGCCCTGCCTCCACCTCCGGCTCTCTGCGGCCCGGCCCACAACCCCTGCTCCAAGGACTCTCCCTTACCTCTTCTAGGTCCATATCCTCAGGGCTTGCTGGGGGATTCTGGAACCCGCCCCGGATCTTCCGCAAAGGCACCACCACAATGAAGTAGCTCCTGTGTGGGGAGAGAAGTGAGTGAGGGACCCCACACGGGGAGCCTGAGAGGGGAGCTGGGTGTCCGAGTCTCTGCTCTGGCCCTGCCTGACCCCTGGTGTTAGGGAGAAAGGAGGTGCAGGGCAGACTCCCGAAGTAGGCTTCTGCAGCCAGGAAGGCCCGGAAACCTGCAAAGCTCTTCCCCGTGGAGACTTTCCTGGTGATGAGGACGTGCTGTGTGCATGCCAACCCTGGCTCCCCGCACTCTCTACCTGCCCAAGGAGCGCGCCCACCTCGCAGGGATGGGGAGGGAGGAGGGAGGGAGGTGACGTACTGGACAGGCACGGGGCTCTGGCCATCAGGGAGCTGCACCAGCACACGGCCGTCGGGCTCGGGCTTGTGGGTGATGGCGGGCTTGGAGCTCAGCATGTTGAAGGCCGTCCAGGCGGCCACGGTCTGCTGCAGGCCACCCATGCTGTTACCGCGATTGGTCAGCACAAAATTGTAGAAGGTGCTCGGCTTGAGGTTGGTGATGAGTTTTTTGGTGGTGCGGCCATCGACGTCAATGTTGAGCCCATTGTACTGGATCTGGAGGATGGGGAGGGAGGAGACTGGAGGTCAGAACCACCTTCCATGCTCCCCTCCGCTTACAGGCCAAAGGCCAGACCTCTCAGCCCGACATGGAGAGGCCTCTCGATCAAGCCCCAGACCCTCATGCTCCCTCCCTCCTCTGTGAGCCCTGGCTGAGTGCTTCCTCTCTCCACCTTTGGGGCCCGAGACCCAGGGGCTTTCTGCCACCGGCCCATGCCTACTCTGCACAGCGAGGAGGCTCCCTGACACTGAACTACCTTCACTCCTGATGGACAGGTGGGACATTGGCTCTGATGTTGTTCACCCTGTGGGGCAGACTGCTCTCGGCAGCTGCTCTGTGTGTGCGCGTGTGTGTGGTGTGTCTGAATGCGTGTTTGTATATGTGCATGTATGTCTGTATGCCTATGTATATGTGTGGCAGGTGTGAGATGTATTGTGCAGATGCACGTGTCTGTATGCATATGGTGTGTATATGAGTATGCATGTCTATGTCTGTGTCTATGTGCATAAGTATATCTGTGCATGGACATATGTGTATGAGTGCTGTGTCTGAGTGTGGCAGTGCAGGCGTGCATGCAGGCATCTGTGCGTGTTCAGTTTCACACACTTGTGCACTCAGAGAAGGGCAGGCCAGGGACTCACCTTGTAGGGGGTGTGGGAGTTATAATTCTCAGGAAATTCCCAGCTCAGCAAGACTGAGGTCTTCATCACCATCTTCACCTTGAAGTTCTTGGGTGAGACTACATCGTCGATGCAGGAGCCAGGGCAGGTGGGCAGGCAGGAGAGCAGGGAAAGACAGAGAGAAACAAGAGAAAGCAGTGAGGCCCAGGGAGGCGGGGTGGTCAGGGTGGCAGGGCCTGTGGCCTTGGGGAGAGAAGGAAGCTCAGTCGTCCCCTGTCGCCTGCTCGTCTCGTGGTACGGCTCTCACACTTCTAGCCATCCTGCTCCCTGCCTACCTGAGGTGGGCCCTTTCTACCTAGTTCTGAAGAATCAAGACCCCAGGGCCGAACGGCGTTGATGGGGGGAGAAGAGGAGGAGGGCAAAGAGACAGAGGAAGAGGAGGAGCAGAGCAAGGGGGCAAACAGAGGGCACTGGGTTGGCGAGGCGCTGCCCCCCACAGCACAGAGCGTGTAGAGAAAGGCGCTTCCCACCTGTCGTGAGGCCTCGCCCCGTCCGGGTGTGTCTGAACTCAGCTCCAAGAGCATCATCGAGAAGGAAGAAAAAAACACCAAAAAACCAGCAGACTTACCTGAGTGAGGTGGGCTGGGGGTGGGGAGGGGTGGGGAAGAAGGAGAGGAGGAGGAGGAGGAGGAAGAAGGTCTTCAGCTGATGTCGAGGCCTGGGGGGGGCAGGGGGTGAGTAGCTCACTGCTTCCAACACCAGCCCCAGCCAGAGAGGAGGGCAGGAGAAGTGCTAAGTCCTACCTTGGTCCGGGAGGAATGTCCGATAGCGGACAGTGGGGCTGTAGGGCCCGGGGCCCTGACTCGTGTGGGCACGGATTTTAACATCATAGGCTGTGTTGGGCTTGAGGCCTTGCAGGGTGAACGAGTTATCCGGTGATGCGGGAAGCTCTGTCTCCACGGGCGGCCCCGCCGAGCCGGCCTCTCGGAAGGCCACGGTGTACTTGATGATGGCCCCGTTCCTCTCGGCCGGCACGGGGGGCAGCCAGCGGAACTGCACCGAGGCTGCCGACACGTTGCCAGCCTCCAGGATGTGTGGGTAGCCCTGCGGCACGTCCTCAGGGATGCTGAGCTCCTGGGCCGCCTCCTCCCCGAAGCCCGCCCGGCTCTTGGCAGCCAGTTTGAACACGTACGTGGCCCCTTTGTGGATGCTGGTGGCTGTGTATTGGTCCTCTGAGGCTGGGAACTCCAGGGTGGCTAAGGGGGACACGTCCTTCCGGCCAAACTGCAGCCGGTAGCCTAGGACCTGGCCCTCGGACCCCGGGGCTGGCTCCCAGCGCACCTGCAAGCTGTTGTCCAGGGTCTGGTGTATAGATAGACTGGGCTTGCCCAGGACTGAAAGACAGAAAAGCATGAAACAATTACGTCAACTCCTATTTCTTTGGCTCTTTAGGGATTACAAAGTACTTTCATCACATCTGTCTGGTGAGGTTGGTAGTGTAAGTCTCACTTGCCCCCACTTTCTAGATAGGGAAACTAAGGCTCACAGGGTAACCTTCCTAAGGCATTGATCTGAGGAAGACAGTACAGAACAGGGGAAAACACACTGGATTTGCAGTTGTAGGACCTGTGGATGGATGAAGAGATTGAGGCTGGGGAGGCAAAGCGGGGCTGACCCTAGTGATCCTGGGGGCAAGCGGCAGAGGCCTGACTGCCTGGGATCCCCTCCAGTACAAATGTCCTGGGAGATTCTCCCCAGTTGGGCTGTAGGAGGACTCCTCCTTGGGAAGTACAATGCTATTATGGAGAAAACCATTATTACTGCCTCTGTGGTTTGGGGAGTGGGGGGCGGAGAAGAGAGATTGTCCTAAACGTTCCCATAATCAGCTGGGCTGGGAAGGATTACATTTGTACAGCAAACGTCATTTGAGGGTGGGAGGGAAGTGTTTTATTTCTCAATTGCTTTGGACACGAAAGAAGAAAATGGGATCTATTATAGAATTTAAATGAATGGAGCTGTTAGCCCTGACTTTTTCCTTGTGGAGGGCATGCAGCACCGGCCTGGCAGAGATAAGGCCGGTGCAGGGCCAGTGGCAAGCCTGGTTCTAAAACAGCTGTTTCAAGCTAGGGGAAACTGATTTGGGGGGAACACTGGGGGATTTTGGAGGGAAACATCTTGACCTAATTGACTCCTGGTTTTCACCCATGTAATGGGAGAGATGAGGGTGGGAATGTGGAAGCACGGGGTGGTGGAAAGAATGCTGGATTTAGAGGCACAGGGCCTGGGTTCTAGTCCTGACTTTGCCATCTCTGCGCACCTCATTTGTAACATGAGGCTGGTCTCAATGATCTCTAAGGTCTGACTGTCTACGGGCTAACATTCCCCTGGCGGTGTGTGCACACACCCGATGCCCTCAGGTCTCTCTTGGCTTTGCGGTCCTTCCTTCTAAAGATCATCCCAGCTCACAAGCAGGGATGCTGAGCTAAGACTCACCCTGGAGGAAACCAGGAGAAAGGAAGTGGGGCTGGACTGACCCTAGGGAACATCCCCAGCCCCATTCTCCTTTCCCCAGGGGAAGCCACCTCCTCCTTTTCCCATGGGCATCTCGAAGCCTGTGTGACTTGTCTGGGCTCACACAGCCCACGGGGAGCAGGTGGGAGTGCTGAGGTGCCACTGGTCCAGACTTTCTCTTCCCATTCTCCCTGCCTCTAGTCTCTCCCCATCTAATCCCTCTTGCATAGGATGTCTGATTTAAGTACTGCTCCCAGCAAAATGGCGGATCAGAAACCTTCATCCCCTCACCTGCTCAAGTACCTTTCAGGGCTCCTAGAGGACTTGACGCAGGGGCTCTCCTACACTCTATCCCGCAGCTTCAGTTGCTTATGTTCCCCTCCACGCACATGCCCTCTGGGGCAGCTTGGCCATGGTCTTCCCTCCCCCTGCTCGGCATCTTTGGAAGGACCGCCTTTCCCCACTCTGACTCTCCAGGAATCCTGCCCTCCTCCTCCTTACTGAGTTCTTCAGCCCCAAGGCTCTGACTGGCTCCTTTAGTCAGCCTGCTTAGGTGGGCTCAGTGGCCCCCTCCTCCTGCTTTCTCAGGCTTCTAATGCTTCCTCACAACACCCTGGCTGTTGGAATGGAGCCCACAGGCACTCCCGGCTGGGTCTGTTCTGGACTAAACCTGCGATTTCACTGGTACAGGTAACCTGGGATGAGGGAGCTCCCTTTACTGATGCTGGCCAGCTGGCTGCACTAATCTTAGGAGGGCTTCTTGGGTTGCTGAGGGATTAAATGGCCTGGCCAGACCACCTGAGTAGTAAGTGTCTGAGACAGAACCTAAGCTCCAAGGCCAGGTGTCTAGCCATTACATTATGCTATCTCTACTTTTCCATTTTGCAGATGAAAATACTGAGCCTCAAATATGTGAAAGGGCTTGTTTGTCCCCAGTCCCACAGGTAAGAAGTAGCAAACCCAGATTCAGACTCAGGTCTCTGCCTCCAAGGCCAGGGTTCTCCCCACTATACCACACTACCTTTCTGGGGGTCCACCAGGCCATGCCTCTTACCTGTTCCCTTGGTCACCACCAGCTTGGGTTTGCTGCGTGCACCGTCACCTTTCATAGTGTATGCTGCCACAGTGACGGAGTACGAGGTTTCAGGCTGTAGCTTGTCGATGACCATCTCCTATCGAGGGAAGAATCCAAGGGGAGAGGGAGGGGTCAGCGGCCGCGGCTTGGGAGAATATCCCCAGGACCTCCAACCAGCCCCCAACCCAGGCCAGGGGCACATGGTGGGAGAGATGACCAGGGCTGAGAAAGGTGGGGGCATATTGCTGGAATAACACATGCAGAATCTGTTCCAAATCTTTCTCTAATACACTCCCCTCTCCCAGATTCTCTCATATATAACACATTGTTCAAATCTCCTTTACAGCTCCAACACACACTCTCCAAATGGTTTACATAGACATGCCCTTCAAACTTTCCCTTGTTATACAATCTGTACTCCCTAAGTAAACCAATCAATTGATAACAAGCAACGATTGAGTGCCTACTCTGTTCTGTGTACTGTATTGGGTGCTGGGTACCAGCACAAAGACTGAAACAATCCTTTCTCGCACACATCCTTCATATGAACTACCTCCAAATTCCTCTCAAACACTCCCTGCAAATCTGTCTCACATGTAACCTTCTAATCTTTCTCATAAACTTACCCACTAAACCTCTCTTACACTTCATCTCTCTTCCAAATCATTCCCAAGTATCACTGAAACTTGGGGGGATCACCAGACCTGAAACATGGCTAGGGAAAAGCCACTCCCTTATTTAAAAGGATTAAGATAGGGAAAGGGGAAGAGGACCCATAGCACTGGGTAGAAGATCTCATAGGAAGCAGAGTGGGGAATCATGGTGGCGATCACTTAGGCAAAGCTAAATGGTGGCAGAAAGATACTCCAGAGTGATACTGCAATATGCTACACAACTCTTGGACAAAAAGACAAAAGAGAAGAGAAGCTTGGCAAACAGATCCCAAGCCCATCACAAAGGCACCACAGAGCAGGAAGCAGGGCCTGTAGTTATACAGATGTCTGCTGGAGTTCTCCGCGATTTCTTTGCTTGTGTTAATAATGATCGTTTCATTCTTCAGAATGTGGCGGCCCCAGTAAGGGAAATTGCTATAATGGTTTCCAAGAAGATGGAACTGGTGTCCAGGGTGGGAATGACAGGCATTTTGCGGGAACCCCAGTTTAGGAATTGTGCTAGAGAAGGTGAGGAAGACCAGGCCCCCAGACATATGAACCCCAGATTCTGAGAGTGGGTTTCTAAGGGCTCAGAAGGAGGGCAGGTGGCATCCTATGGACTAAAATTCTACAAGGCAAGTGGGTCTGGGGAGATGGAAAGCTCTCAGTGGTAAGAAAAGGGAAACGATGAGGAGGGCTGGAGGGCAGTGTCTATTTTTAATATGTTGCTTTTTTTTAGGGGGTAATTTTCTTATGTAGAAATAATTGTTTAAGTAGGGCTTTAAAAGAATCCAGTTTTGAGGATGTTAAAATTTTAATACACAAAAGCAGTATTCTTTCCTTAGGTACAAAGTTTGTTGATTCAAACAACTGATGTACAACCCTTTGTCTTTGTCACTGGGTCTTCTCTCCCTCTTTCTGGTTTTTTTTTTTTTGGCTCGATAATATTTATATTTTGTTAGTGCTTATTTTTTTATGTAGAAAGATAAATTTCTGCTCTTTCTGCAATGATGGAACAGAGTAGGGAAGACTCTATTGCTGGCTAGAATGGGGGAGGGGGTCCTCCTAGTTCTGTCTTCTATCACCACCTTTTAAAATGGCTCTATTCTATCAGAACACAATTTCTAGTCTACTTCCAGGCCTTACTGCTGGCCAGAACTGTTGAGGGGTCCTCTGTCTTCTATCACCACTTTCTGAAATGGCCAGACTACTGGAGCATGAAATCTGGAATACTTACAGTTCTGTATTGCAAATCAAATTGAAAAAAAATGTCCTGGAAGGGGGCAGGGAGAGAGGTTGTCTAAAGAGGCCAATAGATGCACAAAGAACTTGCCAACTAACTTAGATCTGAAAAAGATGCATATAAATAAGCCAATTTGATGAAATGTGCTGCCAGCCTCTGGAGCAGGGGTGGGGAACCTGCGGCTTGAAGGTCACTTGTGGTTCTCCATCCTTGCTCTAGATAGAGAGGTAAGAGACTCAAAATGCAGAAGAGACACAATTTTGGGGGTAACATGGACAACTGAGGAATTTATTTTGCTTGACTCTACGTCTTTGTAACGGGGGTTTTGTTTTTCTTGCTTTCTCAATATGGGGGAAGAGGAGAAAACTGGATGGGGGAAAATGCAGACTTGAAAATTAAATTAAATTAAAAAAACAAAAAAATACTATGATAAAATTTAAAGATATATCCTATGATGAAATCTTGATGAAATTAAAAATAAAAAGACAGGAATAGAAGATAGAAACCAGGACAAGTAATAGAGGATCAACCACAAAACCCTGGTCCTGGGGGAAGAGAGAGAAGAAATCTCTGGATGAGTCGAGGCTGGTAAAGAAAACTAAGGAAGACAAAGCTACGTTAGGGAAGAGAGGAGAGGCAAAGAAGTCATGGAATTGCTCAACCACAATAACAAATATATGACAAGGTGGAGCAAATGAGCTCATCATTTGCTTCTGTTTATCTCTGACAAGGAGAACGGTTTTTGGTCTATAGAGGACAGAATAAAAATTGGCTAATAGGGAGTTTGTGACTTGAGAGAAGCAGGGCCACCAGCAGCAAAGGAAATGCACTGCTGAGCCCTGAAAGGACTGGCATTAGCCAGTGGCTGATGTGGTCACTCTGAGGGATCTTTAAGAAGACCATGGAGAACAAGTGAGATATTACGGGACAAAAGGAGGGTGAATGTTGCTTTGATTTTCAAAGAAGGAAAGAGAGTGGGACCAGCAGACTCCATGCCAGTGAGTTCGGCTTTGATTCCTGGCAAGATTCTAGAATGTACTGTTAAAAGGATGGCCAGTGGATATTTAGAAAGGGAAGCAGTGAGTCACAAGCATGTCTGAACAAGAATCCCCCTCCCTCTACAACAAATCTGATGAGTTGTCATCTAGCCTTTGCTCATAGACTTCCAGTGAGACAGAATCCACTACCACCTGGGGCAGCCCATTTCCCCTGGTGACAGCTCTAATTCTTAGAAACAGCATGGCTTCATTAAAAATAGTCCAGGCTAGCTGACTTTTTTTTTTTTTGGTGAGGTCACTAGACTGGTAGGTCAAGGGAATGCCACATATAGAGTTAACCTAAATTTTAGCAAAGCATTTGAACATCTTTGATGCTGTGTTTGTGTTAAGTGAGATGGGCTGGATCTTATAACATGACTAGGTAGATTTGGAACTGGCTGAATGACTAGACCCAAAGATTAGTCATTAACAGTTCAATATCAGCTTGAAGAGGAGTACCTAGCACACTGCCTCAGGTAACTGTTCTTGGACTTGTGTTATTTATATTTTGACCAATGACTTGGATAAATATATGAATCACGTGTTTATTAAACTGTAGATGCCACAAAGCTAGGAGAGTAAGCAAAAGGACTGGATGAGAGCATCGGGGTCGCAAAAGAACTTGATAGACTAGAAATCTGGGGCCAATCTAATAATATGTAATTTAAAGTTTTTGACTTGGGTTCAAGAAAAAAAATCTATCTTACATGTGCAAGGTGAGAGGGACATGGTTAGAGAGCAGTTCTTTTGAAAAGATTTGGGGTGGGGGAGGAGAGGTTTAGTGGACAGCCAGCTTCATATGAGTCAACAGTGTGATATGGCAGCCAAAGGAAGTGTAAAAAGAAGTATGGCATCTTTACCTAGAAAGAGAATGGTCTCATTGTACTCTGCCCTCAATACAGCCCATGAACTCAATTCAACCAACAATGACTGAGCACCTGTGACACGTAAGAGCCAAGGTTAGGCATTGTACATAGCAAGACAACAAGGAAGCAGGCCTGGCCACAAGGAGCCTGCTTTCTACTGGAAGGCTGTGCTTGGTTCTAGGGGCTATGCTTTGATAAGTTGGAGAACATTTGGAGGACAACCAGAACATCTAAGTTGGAGGAAACAGTGATGTTTTAACTTGGAGAGGCTGGTGAGGCTATGATGGCTGTTTCCAGAAATCTCAAGGGCCATCATGTGGAAGGGGGATTTGTTCTGCTTGGCTCCAGAGGACAGAACACGGAGCAATGAGTAGATGTCACAAAGAGGCCAACATGGGATGGAGAATAAGAGAAACTTCCTGACAGAGCTATCCCAAAGCAGAATGGGTCTACTCTCACTGGAGATCTTCATGCAAAGGCTGGATGACCCCCCACTCCCCATTTGTCAATTATGCAGTAGAGGGGAATTATTCTGGTTTAAGGCAGGCATGGGTTTAGCTGACCTCTGAGGTCCCTTCCAACTCTGGGATGCTGGGTTCATATATACACACTCTCTAAATTTTTCTTTCACGCAGATTTTCCAAATCTCTTCCTTTCTTATAAACACACACCTTCTGAACCTCCCTCACCCACCCAGGTAACCTCTCTGTCTTACACACACCCACTACAAATGCTTCTCACTCTCCATCAACACAACCCCCCACCCCCCCACCTTCGCCTTCCATAGCTCAGTGGTCCTGGGAGAGTCATTAACCTCTCAGTGCTCTGGGAAACTTGCTAAGGCTATCCACTGCAGAGACGGTGCCAACCCACACAGAGGGAAGTTTCCTCATCTGGGAGGCCCATAATCCCAGCCCATAATGATGACAATCACAAAGTGGCTTACATCTATTACCTCATCTGAATCTTCCTACAACCCTGTGAAATAGGAACTCCAGGCATGACTACTGCCACCATTTTGTAAGTTTTGGAGAGGTGCTATGCCTTGCCCATGGTCACCCATAAGGGGGTCCTGATTTCCACCTCTCTGCTTGGCACTGAGGGGGAGGCCAATTCCAGGGAAGACACAGCCTCTGCTCTTGGATCACAATTTGGAGGAGGAATAAGTCACTGGCATATATTCTAGTTAAAGAACACTATCTATCTATCTATCTGATCCATCCATCCATTTATTTATTTTGCTTCCACATCACATTTTTAATTCATCATTCCATCTATCTGTCCATTTGTCTATCTAT